TACGAGTAGGTTAATAAACTCCGCTCTGCCTCCGCTTTTACTTATAAAAAATAAGTAAAATAAAATATTTAAATAAAAAGTTAGAACAAAAAACATTTTCGGCTTTGGCTTGACTTTTTTTTTTTCGTTTTTGGTTTGAAAATGTTCATTTTGGTGCAGCTCTAGGTTTGTATTATCTTTTACATTAATGGTGATAGAAGAACTATTTTCTGTCTGACGAATACAAAATAATGTAACAACCTTAAGTAGATCAGCACCAAGAGCAATTCTCATGGGCAGTAACTTGTAGCCACCAATCTGGGTTCAGTTATTTCTACTCGGCTTAGCAAAGAGTTTTCTTATTGGGAGATTGTTTTTTGACTATCCTCTTTACACTACCATAGGTCTTGATGTTCAATACCAGATTATTAGGTCATATTCCTTTAAAAAGTTTGTTTGGTGATCTCAGAATTTAGCAGGTTTCCATCTGTGCAGTAGAATTTATCTCTGTATTTATAGCCATGTTTCCATTCCAGAGCTGTACCGTTGTTGGGTTACTTGCCTCAAGACTTGGTCGGTACTTCAATCTTGATGTATCTACACCCAGAGGATCGCCTTTTAATGCTTGCCATGCACAGAAAAAGTAAGATATGACCTTTTGTTTATGTTGTCTGAGTTGCATGTAGATAAGTTCACGAGCGGAAAAATTACCTTTTATCCATAAGTCATTAAAAATAAAAGTGTTCTTTTCAGAATCCTGTCTTTTGTTCTTCCTTTGTAACCTTGTGTGGTTTTTTTTTTCCCCCCTGTGGTTGAGAACGGTAGTTTTGGAGTGGCCACACAAAAGTTGTTAGGTTTTGGGGTTTTTTAAAGATTTTTTTTATTATTATTAATATTATTCGTAAGAATTTTATACAAAACAAGTATACAAAAAGAAAATAAAAAAACTTGGTCAACATAACCTAGTAGCAGACTTAACCATAAAACCAAAAAAATCAACGTCTTTCAGTATACATACAGTAATAGAACCAGTAAGGAATATAAGAACTCAAGGATATTATGCCAAAGTACAATTTACAATCAGGAAGGATTAACAGTAGTGGTAGTAGAGGATAACCATGGGCCCCAGATTCCATCAAAGCGCTGCGAATTTCCCCCTCTGTTCATAGGTAAGCTTATCAAGATGTAAGGATTGATCAGGCCACACAAGTTTATAATTTTTTTGTTCCTGACTGCTGAATGCTCAGTGCCCCTATAAACCATGTATATGTCCTTCCTGGGTGAGTAAGGAAAGTGGCAAATATGCTACAAAGTATTTATGAGCTTTTTGTTTTCTTCTTTAGTTCTGAAATATGCAGGGCAACCGCCGTTCGAGCATTCCCCGATCAGGTTCTGCACCCAGAATGGTGACTACATCACTTTGGATACCAGCTGGTCCAGCTTTGTCAACCCCTGGAGCAGAAAAGTGGCGTTTATTATCGGACGGCACAAAGTGCGAACGTAAGTGAATGATTTGTTAGCGCACTCCTAGGGGGGTGTGGTGAAGGGTGGCCAGTGTGCAGCACCTTGGGTTGTTAGACCGGGGTGTCTAACTGCGTAAGACTGAACGAAGAAAGGAGGGAGCAGGAGCACGACTGCCCGGCGCCAGCTTTGTGGATGGGGAATAATGAAGGATGGTGGTTGGTCCAGGGTGACTGGATGTGAGGTCCTCATCACGTGTATTCACTATCACTACACCACCTCCCATCCAGTCACCCTGATTCCACCACCATCCTTCATTATTCCCCATCCACACAGTTGGCGCTAGGCAGTCGCACTCCTGCTCCCTCCTTTCATTGGTGGTCAGAAGCATTTTAAACAACCCCGTCCATGTCCCCAAAAAAAAGCAATCCCACAATCGTTAGTGGTCAGTAGCGCTTTAACCCCATCCCTCCCTTAACTTTGGGACCCGATCGAATAGCAAACTTGAGCATTTCAAAATATGCAGGTCTCGCCTATCTTTTCATTTTAGGGGGCCGCTGAATGAAGATGTGTTTGCTGCAAGAAGTACAGAAATCAACAACGTTGACAAAGAAATAAAAGAACTGCAAGGACAGATCTACAAAGTCCTTTTACAGGTAGATATCATTTTCCCTCAGTAAAGAGTCTCTGTCCTATGTGACCCGAGCGTTCAATTGTCCCACGGAGAGATTTTCCTTTTTATGTCCCGTCTTCAAGACACAACAGGAGCTGAAAATAAATCTCTCCAAAGTAAAAAGGAATCCCCTGTTAGACAGTTGTCACCAAAATGAATATATAAATATATATTTTTTGTGTGTGTGTATATATTATCAGTTTAGGAATGTATAAGCTTAAGAGGGGGAGGTTGGCATGGTGACCCATCCTTATACCTCCTCATTCGTTCACTTTTGCGTTTGACAAATTTATTGCGAGGGACATGCTTTCAGCTAGCTCATTAATTTCTTTGTAACGTGTCAGAATGTATTATGTAAAAAAAAAAAAAAAAGAGGGGGGGTGAGGGGATTGGCTTTATTTATTTAGGCCACAGTAATTTTCCTAGGCAAAAGCTGAAAGGTCCTCCATTGTTACCCTTCTCCTCTATCAGTTTGATGGGTAATTTGTCACCGCGGGAGAGAATGGGCCTTGCATCACTAGCCTCTGTTGTACAGCCATGAAAGCCAAACGTCATACAAACATTTAGGCTCCTTGACCAGTCTACGAACAACAACCCATTGCTCCGCTCTCACATGGAACTGTAATTTCAGCCCGTCTATGCTGCCATTCAGAAATATTCTTTATTCATTTTATCTGTCTTTTTATGACTACATGAAATCGCCCCCTGCGTACAATAAGACATGTGTCCAAACTCATTATTCCACTTTACAGAAACAGGTATTTTCTAGAAGTCTTTGTAGTGTTCAGGTGAAAAAACCGGATGTAGCAAAACTTCCACACAGTCGGACATTTGTTGAATGTTTTCGAGTAGGTGTGGTAGGAGGACATTTCAAAATAACAGCATGTCTCCTGTCACATACATACTTGGAGTTAAATCTTAAAAAATCTTAGAGAGTTAAATCTTAATACATTTAAGTACCTTTAAAGGAGAACTATGAGGTGAGTGCTTTTCACTCGCCTCATAGTTCTAGCCGACCTGTGACAATGAGACTGTTACAGGTCGGCTCAGTAGATCGGGAGGTGAGCGAACACATACCGGCTTTCGCTCATCTCTCGATCCTGTCACAGCCTTCTGCCGTGACAGGGGAGGGGCTGGATTCCTGGGAGGGGCGGGTACAGCTGGCTCTGCCTCTAGATAGGCAGAGCCAGCTGTCACTCACGCAGCTGGGCGGATCCAGACATAATTGTCGGGATCCGCTTCAGCTGCGGCGTCTCAGTATACCCCGAGCTGTAGCTCGCGGTATACTGAGCTTAGGATGACGGGTGGACGCTAGTTTGTGTCCTCCCGTTACCCTGAGGAGAACTATGGGGAAAAGCCTTATCCCCATAGTTCTCCTTTTTAACTTAACAAAAATGTATCTTATTTGTGTGTCACTCAGCTGTAGATCCTCAAATCATCTCTGAATTGGTGCTGACACTGTCCTTCCTTCTGGAGGGGGGCTTCTTTTGTTCCCCATGGTCCCTGTGTGTGTTGTAGTCACCACTTCGTGTTCCTGTGATGGACTACAATCTCGCGTTTAGTTCACTAATTTGTACTGAGATTGTAGTCCATTGCGGGACCCAGCTTGGAGCGGTGACTACTTTACAACACGCACAGGGACCATGGGGAACAAAAGTAGCCCCCCTCCAGGAGAAAGGACAGCGTCATCACCAATTAAGAGATGATTTGAGGATCTACAGCCGAGTGATACACAAATAAAATACATTTTTGTTACTAGTGAAGGCACTTGAATGCATTTTAAGTTTTAACTCCTGAGTTGCTGTACAGAGACCCCCATGCTCTATTTGTGAAAACAGTAGTCTCTCTGCTAAAGAAGACTAGTCTAGTCGGGGGGGAGCACAAGCTTTTCTAATTGCAAAGCTATCTGTCTCACCCGGTAAGGGGAGTGTCAGACCTCTACAGTAAGACCACTGCTTCCCTGCAAAGAACAAGGTTTCCACTGCATACTTGCAGGACACATGCTTTTCTACTCGGGCTGTGGCTGCTTTAGATGGATTCCTGGGAGGGGCGGGTACAGCTGGCTCTGCCTCTAGATAGGCAGAGCCAGCTGTCACTCACGCAGCTGGGCGGATCCAGACATAATTGTCGGGATCCGCTTCAGCTGCGGCGTCTCAGTATACCCCGAGCTGTAGCTCGCGGTATACTGAGCTTAGGATGACGGGTGGACGCTAGTTTGTGTCCTCCCGTTACCCTGAGGAGAACTATGGGGAAAAGCCTTATCCCCATAGTTCTCCTTTTTAACTTAACAAAAATGTATCTTATTTGTGTGTCACTCAGCTGTAGATCCTCAAATCATCTCTGAATTGGTGCTGACACTGTCCTTCCTTCTGGAGGGGGGCTTCTTTTGTTCCCCATGGTCCCTGTGTGTGTTGTAGTCACCACTTCGTGTTCCTGTGATGGACTACAATCTCGCGTTTAGTTCACTAATTTGTACTGAGATTGTAGTCCATTGCGGGACCCAGCTTGGAGCGGTGACTACTTTACAACACGCACAGGGACCATGGGGAACAAAAGTAGCCCCCCTCCAGGAGAAAGGACAGCGTCATCACCAATTAAGAGATGATTTGAGGATCTACAGCCGAGTGATACACAAATAAAATACATTTTTGTTACTAGTGAAGGCACTTGAATGCATTTTAAGTTTTAACTCCTGAGTTGCTGTACAGAGACCCCCATGCTCTATTTGTGAAAACAGTAGTCTCTCTGCTAAAGAAGACTAGTCTAGTCGGGGGGGAGCACAAGCTTTTCTAATTGCAAAGCTATCTGTCTCACCCGGTAAGGGGAGTGTCAGACCTCTACAGTAAGACCACTGCTTCCCTGCAAAGAACAAGGTTTCCACTGCATACTTGCAGGACACATGCTTTTCTACTCGGGCTGTGGCTGCTTTAGAAAGAAAAACTGTAAAGGTGCTCATACGCCTTACAATTATCATCTGAAAAAACAAACGCAATCGTGTTTTCATACGATAATCGGCCTCGATCTGGAAGACTAAAAAACTTTTGTCGGAACGAACGAAAATCGATGGATTAGTAGCGTTTTCGTACAACAAAAATTGCAACAGGAACACTGCACATGCGCATACGAAAATCCGTTTCTCTTACAGTTGACTTAAAACTTGCAAGGATTTTAGCAGTGTTATTTGCAGGCTCTCTTAACAGGTTCTGTTCTATTGACATGTCACTGAATGAGGAAATAGCGTCACAAGATCTCGCACTTTGCCAGTTGAATTTACTAAGGCGACAGGTTATAAATTGCCTGGATAGGTGACAGAAGGGTGCAAATGGTTCTCCAGCTGGTAATTGAATTGGAGTTAGCATGGAGGTTAAAGTGACATTAAAGCCCCCCCCCCCCTCCATGCTGCTCTAAGGACTTACCTTAATTGATGCCTCTTGATCTGATCATCTTCTTTCCAGTAGTTTTCAGGAGTCCCTCCAGCTCTGGTCTCTGATCCAGCACTGATTCCTGTCTCTTCCTGTCCCACGGAGTCTGTGCGGGTGCACGCTGCTGCATTGACTTACCCTGTGTCTCTTCTCTCGGCCGAAGATCTGAACTGTACATGCGCCCGCCTCATGATCCTCCGGCGGCCGCCCGAGAATCTTCAGATCTTCGGACGGGAGCTCGCAGCGGAGACACAGGTAAGTTTAAACCTATTTGGTTCTCTTTTTGTTTTGAGTATATCTACTGCTTGCTAGCAGTAGATATATGCAAATAAGCACAAGGGTTTAATGATCCTTTAAGAATAGCCAGCGTGAAATCTTATATTGTAGGGTTGTCACAGTATTCTTTGTAGCATGGGAGGCCTGCAGTCAGCTTACCTTGCAGATACAGGCATCTTTCAGCAGCAGGAGACCGTTGCCATTGGCTTGGCTCGGCTCACTGCTCTCTGGCTTGATGGTCTGCAGGCAGCAATGCTATTGGTCAGTCCTGATCCCTGCCGCTCTTTATTACCTGACTACTTATCCACTAAGGACATTGCCAGCCACACGAAGGGAAAGCGCTCCAGTTTCTTGTCTATACAATATCCTAACCAGGCACAATACGCCTTGGAGATATTAAGCACTTGTTTGTAATTTTTCAAAATGAGTGCCTAATGGGAAGTTTCCCTTATGTTAATAACATGATTAGTCCCTTTTGTCATATAGTGTAGCTGTATTATTTTAGATATCCAGGTACTTCTAAAGATGAAATACCTAGTGCAGCACACCGAAGGATATTCCATGAAGATATTTGTTAGAGGCAGTGAACTGATTACAGGAGAAGGGGTAGATGGCATTTTGGAAAACAATCCTGCTTGCAGGTTTAGATTCTATACACACACCTCTGCAGTCTTTAATGGCAGCAGAGGAAGATGAACACGGCATGTTCTTGTTCTTTCTTTGTTGTCTCCTTTTATTGGACTTTCAAGGAGATTTCTCTATATGGAACCCTTTTTCTTTTGCTGCAGCCTGTACATAACACCGGTTCCAGTGGCTACGGGAGTCTGGGTAGTAATGGATCCTATGAACATTACATCAGCATTGCCTCTTCTAGTGATTCCAATGGAAACTGTGTGGATGAATCACATAAAGAACCGGTAAATGTAATCTGCTATTTGTGTCAAAGTGCACCTGTCTCATTTTGCAGACAGCTACATAGGAGGGGAGGTGAAATGGGGAGCACTCATCATTGGATTGAAACACTAGTTACTAAAGGGTGATGTTACATCTCCCAAATGTGGATAGAGGCTACAAAAACACTTGTTCAGTAGAGCGAGGAAGGGTTACAATCATTGTCAAGTTTTTGTTATTTTTTTGTTGACTCCTGTGTACCCGCATTTGTGTTGACTCCTGTGTACCCGCATTTCATTACCAGGAATTGGGATTTAACAGCCAGGAAATAATGGCTACACATAATCTTAAAGAAAAGTGACATGAAAGAGGAAGTGTTGCGAATTCACCTTACCATTGTACATTTCACGAGTCCTTAATGAGCAGTTAGTATGTGTAAGCAGTGACTCGTGTGACAACAACATATCTCTGAAGTAGCCACACAATTTACAATCCATTAATGCTGTAGTGACACAAAGTAGAGTCAGAGTATGATAATTCTTCCTTTTCTGTACTGTGGTAAGTTTTTTATAATGCACACCTCCTCTCATATTGTCGTATTATGATATAGTTTCTGCTTTTAGCAATATATGAACGGAGAAGAAACGCATATATCATAACATGTTTTACCTGAGGAAGACACTCAGTTGATATAATAAAGTGGTAGCAGTACATAGAGACCATCTCTGACCGTTGGCTGATGTAGAGAAAAGTGTTAGTTGTGTTTCTGATTTCAGAGGCTCCATGTGTTAAAATAATTAACTGAGTTTCAGTGAGACCACAATTGAGTGAAGATAATTAACCTTCCTGCACTGCTGATTCACAATCGATTTAAAAGCTGGCAGTCCGGCTAATGTTTTCTTCTTTTCCTTTGTCCGGCCGTAGATGACTCCGAGACAACTGTACACGGACATCAACCGCATCAAGAATCTCGGTCAGCAGGTCTACATCGACACGAGGAGCAAGCCTGTGCCCAAGAAGGTGGAGGTTCTCCAAAAGGATCTTCAGAGAGGTGAATGCCGGATTTCTGCTTTGTTGGCAATTGCTTCTGCATGTAGTCCCCCTGTATTTTTCTTTCTAATTGTGTAAGAGTACAGAATACATCAGTTCAGGCATGCAACTCTAGAGTTTGTCATTCAGTGCAGTTAGTGACAAAAGCTTAGTTCCCTTGACACACAAAGCTGTGTATCGGGTGTGTACAATTGAAGCTTTTCTGGAGAGAAGAGAAATCTAGGAGTGCAAGATGTAAGGTTTAGGAGCCTCCTTTAGTAGAATATATGTTATTGTGATGCACAGGTGCTACATGGTGCACCATCTTCTTTTCCAGCATTTATTTGACTGATTCACAAAGACATATTTAGAAGTTGCAAGTTCAGTTAAGTTATAATGAAAGGGAGACTATCAGCTCTATGTCCAGAACCAACGTACCGTGTAAGCTGCTATACTTAGTGGGCATTCACCATTTACAAGCCCTTCAGTTCTGGACTGTGATGAGGGGTTGGAAGGGGGTCCTAAATATAAACAAAAGGGGTACGGAGTGCCCCCTTCAGTTATTTTAGAAGCTCATTCCAAAGCATCCCCAGAGCTGTTCAGTACTGCATCAGGATAGTGAGTGGCGGCATGACATGTCAAAGTACTGATGTGGATGGGCTACTATATCCCCCTGGTGCCCAAGTTGAAGTGCTAGGAAAAAAACACAGGTTTTTGTTCAATATTACTGAGTAATGAACTATTAAAGGGGTAATTGGGCCTCATGGACTATATACCTACAGTAGAAAAGTGTTTCATTTAAAGCCTGTGAGAAATTTCACGAGTGCGCAATGCAAATCCTGCATCCAGAACATGTCATAATGCTCCTACGGAATTAAGCCTGAACAATGCTTTGATATAATGTTAAGGGTGATCCATTTTGTACATATTCTGATTTCCCCCCCCCCCCTTTTTTTTTTAACTAAACAGAAAAACCCAATCTGAATGGCTTCCTGCGACCTCAGGAAAACGTGGTGGCGGAGGGAAATGCAGATTCATCATATGAAGCTTCCAGGAAGGGGCAGCACATACCTTCATACCAGCAAATCAATTGTGTGGACAGTATTATCAGGTAAGGGATTGTATTACAACAGAAGCAGCATTGCGCAACACCGTTTTGTACTCCTCAGGGAATAAGGCGCTGCCTGTGTGGTTGTGTACTTGTAATTAAATGAATAGCTTGCTTTTTAAACATGGCTTCCGTGCCCCACTGGGGCATGAAACAGTCCACCAGTATCACTATGGAGATGCTGGTCCAGCGCAATGATGTGCAGCCAACGCTGGAGTGATTGCATGTAGACAGGAAGTGGCTGGAGGAGATCAGAAGCAGCACTGAGATTAAAAAAACAAATCTGAGGACAGTATTTTATGAAAGTGAAACATTGCAGCTGCTCGTTAATACAGGTTATTTGACAAACGAAATTTCGTCCAGTTCGGGCTTACAACTTTCACACTTTGTGGCCGAGCATCTGTGCGGGCACCAGGAGGTCCCGAGGGTTTTAGAAACTCCTTATCTAGTATCTGCTGCACGTTGTGATTTCGTTTCCATTAAATTGCTCCTTTGCTTCAACCATATTGTTCTCTCTTCTGCAGGTACCTGGAGAGTTATAACATGCCAGCGCTGAAGAGGAAGTGCGAGTCCTCCACAAACACCACCTCTTCGTCATCAGAAGACGACAAGCAGGGCTTTTCCGGACAGAACGACCAGGAGGTTTTAGAAGGTAAGGCAATGACATTGTGGCTTAGCCTAATATTTACTGTCTTGTGCAATGTCAGAAAACTGTATTGTAACGCAGACTGAAACAACACAGAAGTCATGTAGTTTAGCTGACACCTTTTAAGACTACACTAGTACTAGGAATGGACAGGGGAACGATGGGCAAGATCTAAAAAGACGTATATAATGCAGACGGTTACAGTCATTAACACAATATCTGTTTTTCAGAGTTCCCCCGATAACATAGATTTTTACCATTTGCTCCTGCCCGTAGGTCTGTTATTTTTTTCCACCACCTTTAGCAAACCAAGCTGTCCAGCAAATGTGATAGAGTGGTTATGACAAACCATATTAGATTGCTGGTGGTCCTTACAACAGTCCGCTTTTATTCATTTGGTTTAAACCATGGGTAAGCAAACTCCCCCCCCCCCCCCCCCCCCCCCGTGGGGGGAAAAAAAAACCCCTACAGCAAGCTGTGGGGAAAATACAAATCCCATCATGCAATCTACCTCTGGGAGTCATATTCTGTGGCTGTCAGTCTTGCAATGCCTAATGGGATTTGTAGTTGCAACAGAGCTGGAGGGCCGAAGTTTGCTCCCCTGGTCCAAAATTATTTAAAAAAATTAGCTGTAACTGACTTAATAGTGTTATAGTTTAGGCTTTTTGTTGTTTATCTCTTACTTGAGGTCCAGCTGAGGCTACAAGTCCATCGAAGTACCTTGTCCACAAAGTGACAACACTTCTTGGAATTTAATGCAGACTAAACAGCATTGTCACCCTGTTAAAGGAAGTGGGAAAATAATGGCTCTACTGGCAGAAACAAAGGGTAATAAAACTGTTACAGGGGGGGATTTATTTAAAGAAGAAAAAAAAAGTCAATTTAATTAGTAAGGGCCCCCTCCCCCAGGTAGGGGGGTGTAAGTTGAAAAGTTAGAATGCCCACCTTTTCCCACCAGTTTCCTTGTTGCGCAAGGGTTGGTGTTGGTACCCTTCAGTAGATACCCCGGGAAATACTGAATAACCGAAATCTTGCTAGATGTTACTGCAGTGTAGTCCTGAAACAGGCTCGTAAGGTTTTAGCTACTCGCCATTCCCTGAAAATGGCCGTCTTGGTGGGCAGTGAAACCCAAAGTTTAGGTCATAGTTATGTGAAGAAGACCTTGACATTTCGTTTTGTTTGTTATGTTCTCAGTGAGGTGAAATGCAAATCGTGTTTCAGGATATGTTTTGCAAGGGGAAGACTTCTTTTATAACTTCAGGATAAGCAAATGTTTCCTAAATACAAGATTCATGCGTATTCTTCCTTGAATCTTGATGAGCTTTGTGTATTTCCTTCAAGTCTGTGCAGCAATCCAGTTTAATACTTTCCCCCTGTGCAGGAGCTTACTGGGATAAAGACCGGTCACTTCTACTCTCTCCCCTTGTGCAGGGTGACTGGTCTTGTCTCTGCCCACTCCTGTAGTTTTCTACAGTGGGTCTGTAGTGGGTGGGGCCTGCTGGGCACCTCCCACAGCTCTGATCTATGTACACCACAGTGATGATGTCACGGCTACTTTACAAGGCATTACATCTGGGTTTGCAAAGGCATTTGGTTCATACAAAGTGGATTTATACCCTTTGTGGCTATATACATGAATACATTTAAATGAAATAGTTTTTGTGCCCGGAGTTAATTTTTAAGGCAGAGTTCCAGTTAAGGGGGGGGGGGGGGGACCACAAGGAAATTAAATATATCCAGTCCTGTACACTGTTTTTCTTCTCCAAACTGCAGCATTTCATGCATGTTCATTACAATTAAAGTGATGATGGTGGTATGGGGAAAGGCGTGCACTGTTGGGAAGGGAGGTGGTGGTGTGTTCATGTCTAGCTATTGCTCACAATGCAGTTTATCCCGTCTAAGGATCACCATGTGTGTGATGCGGGCTCATTTCTTCTTCCGCACCCAAACGTTTTGGGGGACACGGTTTAGTTATGTGGCGCACTCAAGAAGCGGATAGTTATCCTTCTAGAAATGTATGTGTTGTCTGCACATTATGGCTTCAGCCACTTTTGCCTTTTCGTGATTACTAGAACAGCCCACAATCTAAACTCCCTCCTTTTGGATTTCGGGAGAGCCCAGAGGCTCGAGCAGCACAGTGCCAAGACAACGGATACACACAGATCGCGCACATGCTCATTGCTTTTCTATATATTGGTATCTGAAAAATTAGTCTCTGTTTGCAGAAGAAAGAATAAGCCTATATTTGTAAAGGGTTAGTTCACCCACAGGAGGTGATATTTCAGTTACAAATGGATGCTCTAGGTCAGTCACGGACTTCCAGCACCACCATGGAACATTACCCAGTCAGAAGGAGTCTCTCAGTCTTGGACATGAAGAGTTTGAGACCCCTTGTTGCTGTCGGTGGTTGGAGCTTGGAAATCAGGTGTGAATCTCACCGCTGGGATCTCCAACTGTTGCAGGAAGCCAGTTGGTAGGTAAACTTGCATCCACCCTTGAACTGAAATATTTTTTTGGGTAATCTAACCCCACATAATCTTGAAACTGGAAAGCAACATAGACATTGTTGTAATTTTTTCTGTGCTAGTTAAGGCATTGCACTTCTGTTGAATCATCTAAGCAAATGGTCACTTCAGCAAACATGTCCTTCAAATACACGGAGGCAAGGCGGGGTTTTCAGTGACATTGCTCCAAGACTGGATTATTTTGTTTGACATGTTTGCTGTAACAACTCCTTGCTTTTAGTTTGGAAAGCTTCTTTTTTTTTTGCTAAGCAGTTCTCTTTGGAATTGATTGAAATAACTTAAGAGACCTTGATACCTTCCTCTCAAAACTGTCCTCGAATTTCTTGTATCGTTGTAAGATGTTCCCGTGCTAGCGGTGCCTACGAGCCAGTTATCAGCGGAGTCAATGGTTACAACCGACGCTCAGACAACAGCAGCCGTGGTGGGAGCTCCGCTGACCGATCTTGCACTGTCCAAGGCCATGAGTGTTGTGTCCGTCACCAGCCAGTGTAGCTACAGCAGTACCATTGTGCATGTTCCACAGCCCGAGTCAGGTACTTCTCATCTTTCCATATCCTGGAGGATTCTTCGTCTTGTTGTTTTTTTCTTGAAGATGTTAACATATGACAGCCAGCTTGTCCTGCCAACTGAGCTTTTCTTTCCTTTTTTTTTGATTGCTCACTTTCTTTTCTTTCCTCGTTTTCTTTTTCTTTGTCCCTTCTGTATTCCGTCCTTCTCTTCTCCCCCTTCCCTCTTTCTTCTTTCCCCCTTCACTTTTCCTTCCTCCAATAAACTAGTGCTCTGTATAGATTTGTCAGTCAGTCTCTAGCTACAATCTATTGTTACTGGTTCTTATCCTATTTTTGTACAGCAACAGATCTCCATCACGGTCTAGTTACAACAAATGAGCATATGCTGATTCTCGATCTGCTGTGTGGGATTCTGCACACAATCGCTTTGCTGGCGCTTCTGAACACATACCAGTGCGTTTCAAGCCACTGAACTATGTAGTGTGAACAGACTGCTGTAGGTAGAGGATCCATGCCCTTTTCATCTCATGCTGGTGGCTCTGATGTGTTAACTCAGGACAGAGAGCCTATGACATAAAATGTCAGCACTAAAACCAAAGTCAGGCAATTTTGCCAAGTTGGAAGTACATTATAAATTCTTCTTTGAGCTACGGGCCCACGACAAAGGGCAACGGCTACAAAATTCCAGCTAACTTTTTGTCGATCCTTTTTCTCTTGCGTGTCTGTTAGTTAATATGTATGCAAATGAGCTATGATTACATACATAATCTCTTCCATAGATCTTTGCACACGTCCCAAGGCACCATTTTTGGAGTCCAGGGCTGTTAAAAGCTTTGGTTAGATTTTTGACTACAGTGTTCAACAAATATACAATTTTTCCTGCTACTTGCTGTAGAATAATCAAATATTTTTTCTATTCTACCTTTTGCAAAATGGAATCTAATTACCAAACAATTGTCATTTCTTGTGCTGCTTTTGGTGCGTTTTTCATTTCACCAAATTTGGATAATGAAAACTTTGCCCCCCCTACTTAACTTTTATGACCTAGAGGAATTTTTTTTTAAAGACTTCTACCACCATCATTTCATCAGCTTGTATAAGAAAAACATTCTCAGGCAGAATGCTCCTTTTGCTTGTTGTAACCAGTTGAATTCCTCCTCTAGCTTCCTAATCTGGTCTGGTAAACGACAGATTGAATGTTGTTGGTCGATAGAAGCAACAAGAGGACTTTTCTGAAACACTTTTGTTCCAAAAGGCTAAAACCTCTTCTTTTTTTTTCTTTTAGTTTTGGATAGAATAGGGAATGGTTAGAACTCCTGCCAGGTTCAGAAGATGTTCCTTCACTGCCTGTGAAACATCAGTGGGGTCATCAAGAACCTAACACAGGTTCTAGCCTTCCTCGCTCTGTGAAAAGAGTTTTTGTTGCCGAATGTCTTTGTTAGAGATTTCCCCCCTCACTTCCTGTCCTGGTGACATCCCCCAGTACAGGAAGTCAGGAAAAAATCTCCTGAATTTGCCAGAAGACCTCAAACCAAACCGACAAGAGTTCTAACCGTTTCCTTTACTATCCAATAATAGAATTTAAAAAAATGGCTAGATCAAAGAACAGATTTGGAACCGTTTTAGAAAAAGGGGTTGATTTGTCTTTATTGTGTTTTTGTTTGCTCTATTTTTTAATTGCACAGCTTTTTACTGTTGTGTATGTGATGTGTTGTGTATACAGAGGTGACGGCCATAGAAGATGCCACTGCTGGCAGTGAGCAGATTGAGATGAGGTCTTCACAAGTGCCTGGTTCCACAGTGGCACCGGAGGAATTAAAGCTGGTTGGGTTGACGAAGGAAGTTCTTTCTGCTCACACACAGAAAGAGGAACAGAATTACGTGGACCGGTTCCAACAGAGGATCCTGCACTCTCCGTACAGCAGCTATCTGCAGCAAGACGGCCGCAGCAAGGCTTGCTTCCATGAACAAGGTGTCCAAGGTATTTGTCGCCTTCGTAGTTTGGACCTCTACCGTTCCCATCACATGTTCACTTCATGTCTTTGCACATAGGAACCACTTTACCATCTCATGTCATCTCCTTTTTTGTTGTTGTGCTTGTATTTCAATTAGCATTTTACAACTTATAGGTTTCAGTTTTGCATGCCTGTGGGTGCAATCACCCCTGACTTCTTCCATTTCTACAAGTGTCTAACTCCTGTGGTGGGATTTTTCCCTGCCGTAGCCTCTGCCATCACCCTTTTAAGGAAACCTGTCATGAAAGGTAGGCTGCCATTGCTGACATTGCTTACCTATCTTAAAGGCTAACTTATTGGCTGCATGTAGAAGTGGCCAAAAATAGGCTGCAGGAGGTCAGCAGCATTCTGATGCCGAAAGGGATGCAGCCCCTTACCCAGAACAAGTATGCAGATGAGAACTTTTGACTGGGCTCTAGCTTTCCTGTTGTACATACCTGTTCCAGGTTCAAGATTCAGGAAATATTGATGCCAAAGGGTCACACATTCAAAGCGAGTTTAGAAAATACAGCTCCTGTGTGCATCCTGGGATAAAAAATATTTTTTTTTTTTGAAGAGACCCTGTCACCTAGGGCCGCAACAATTAATCGATTATAATAGATAATGAGAATGGTTGTCAATGATTCTCATTATCGATTCGTTGATTTTCAATTAGTTTATTGCCCCGCCCCCTCTCTGCTCCTCCGTTCTCCCTGCTGGAGCTGGCTACAGCGGTCTCTGTCACTTTCAATCCCGCTGCTCTCCCCACAGAGCCAGTGGGGGCACAGACCACTGCAGCTGGCACGATGCATGTCTGCACGATGTCTGCACGATGAGCAGTTACAAAGGGGATTGGATTAAGAATATTTATTTGACAAGATCGGTTTCAAAGATTTGTGTTGCTAATTTGCATTTTTTTTTTTCCTCTAAAGCCTAACTGAACTTTCCGCACGCTGCAGATTAGGAACCTTGCTCTCTGTTTTGACTGTTTTGAAAGGAGATGTCTCTCTGCAGAGGTCCCACATACCCCCCCCCCTACTGAGTCTGAGCTAGAAGTCAGAGCTTGACTCAGCATGGGACATACCGGACCTCTGCAAGCAGACCACTGGGTCCACACAGAGGGCAAGGATCCTTCTCTGGAGGATGCTGGCAAGGGATAGGTTTTTTTTTTCTACTCGGGCTGTGGCTGCTTTCTACATTTAAATGTAAAACTTTGCACATCTTCTGTTTTTAGATGTGTCTGGAATGTATGTACTGGATTTAAACTGTTCAATTTTCTGCCTTATATTCTAAGGATTGCAAAAGAAATCGCTGTGCATGCAGTCATTCTGCTAATTCTAACCGTCAGGATTGTATTTCTGCTTGTGACCCTGTTGGGGAGATTTTTGACTCTCCTCCTGTTCCTGTCCCTGTGACACCCATTTACCAGGAAGGCTCAGAAAGCCATAAAAATACTGAATATTCGGACCCTTCCATTATTTTTTTGTTTTGTTTTAGGGCTCCCATTGGGACACAGATAGAAATAATAACCTGGCAGAAGCTCTATCCAAAATGCAATATATGTAAAAGGCTTTAAGCTACAGAATGTACTTTGCTAAAGATTGTTCTGATTGGATGTTCTTTTATTTTTGCAGGTGAACACTCTTCTCAGCAGACCACCCCATCTGCTTGGAAGAAAGGTAAAAAACATGGTAAGCACAAACGGCAGAAACCCATGGAATCCTCGGACAGTAATGGTTCTCGTCCCAATCTGCCACCACGGCCGAGGAGGCCAGGTCCTTTGCCGCAGTCTTGGACACCATCTGAAGTTTCTCATCCAAGCCCCCCGAACATAGCTTTCCCTCCCTCTGTGATGATCCAACCGGCCTACTCCATGCCGGGGTTTCAGATGCCGCACATGGCAACTGCGATGGCAGGAGACTGTACCACCTCAACTGTGACTCCAGAGTCCATCCCGCAGTCCAACATCTACAACATGCAGACCTTCCCAGGATTCCCTTCTCCGTACATGGGTACCCTCATGGCTGTTATCCTCCCCAACTACAGCATGTACCCACCTATGAACCCACAGGTGCTTCAGCCTTTCTTCCCTTCTCAGTACCCATGTCCACCTGCTTATCCATACACTGCAATGCCTAGCACCCCTCAGAACGCTCCGTCACAAATCCCCACAGACTTTGTGGACCTGACTTTTGGAGCCTCGTCCCCCATGTCTGCAGAGGGACAGCAGGAAGTACAGAGCGAAGACCCGCGCCTCTTCAGCAACTCTAGAAGCAGCTCTCCTCTGCAACTGATGCTTCTTCAGGAAGAGTTACCAAAACCGGCAGAACCTCAAGAGGGACCCAATGCTGAGAAGCAGTCGGATATCAAATGTGTGAGTTGTGTTCTGTCCTTACTAATGGGTTATGGTTGGCTCTGTTTTGTCCAATTATTGATCAAAGGGGTAGATCTCCATAGACATAAGGAAGCAGAGATTTTAGAATTAAATTACTTGTTTACAGTTTTTTTTTTTCAATCCTTTGCTGCATCTCAGTGCTACTGATATCCTGCAGCCACTTCCTGTTTCCTGCATTTGCTGAACAGCATTTCTCAGGGTGGGTTTCCTGATGGTGACAAAAGTGGATCATACTATTCTAATGTGTGTTGAAACAGCCACTTGTGGTCTCCATCGAAAGCCCATGTGACCGGGTGACAACGAAGGAGCACCACTGTGAGACAGGGAAAGTGTGTTGTCACCCTATTACAGGAAGTGCCTGAACAAGGATTTTCATGGCAGGATCACCAGGTAATATTTTCATGAAACCTGTGTTTAGTGATCAGGTTTACATCTACTTTGACTTAGTGATCTGTACCCAAACCAGTTTAGTCGTTCAAGCCTTTAGCACAAGTAATATCTTAAAATGCTCAGTTCCTCCTGCCAGAAGTAGCTAATAAACTTTACTGCATGCCCGTTTTGTGTCTTTTTAAACAGGCGAACGCAGCCGGGAACAGCGGCAACAATGACGGCCACTCTGCTTCTAGCGAACTTTTTGACCTTTTGCTACTAGAGGAATCCCAGTCTGGTACTGGGTCAGCAGCTTCAGGATGCGGTTCTGCCAATTCCAGCACTTTGGGATCTGGTTCCAACGGTTTTACCTCAAACGGGACCTTTGGAAGCGGCACAGGTAATCAACACTTTGTGGTGACTTTAGTAGTTTTGTTGTAGTAAGTATCCATTATCCCAGTCTAACCATGCTCAAATAATGGACTCCCCAATACCCTGGACATCATGTATAATAACTGGAGGATGGGAAAGGGTCTGCGTTGCCCATAGCAACCTATCAGATGCCTCATATTTAATTAAATCCATAATTTTTATTTGTGAATGTGATCAATTCATTATAAATGATCTCATCTGTCTGTGTTAATGTTTGAACATACCGGCGCTCGCTCACTTCTCGATCCTGTGCCGGCAGAGAGCCGTGACGGGAGGGGCTGGATTCCCCCCTCTCCGGTCCTCCAGCGCTGACTGGCGGAATGGACGGGGGAGGGGGCGGGTACAGCTGGCTCTGCCTCTAGATAGGCAGAGCCAGCTGTCACGCAACTGGGTGGATCCAGACAGAATTGTCGGGATCCGTTCCGGCCGCGGTGTCTCAGTATACCGTGAGCTGTAGCTCGCGGTATACTGAGCCTAGGGTGACGTGAGGACGCTAGTTTGTGTCCTCCCGTTACCCTTAGGAGAACTATGGGGAAAAGCCCTAACCCCATAGTTCTCCTTTAATCTGTAGCTAGAGTAGGAACAGTGGGTGTGTTCCATCATCTGACATTTTAGACAGCTGAGAACCTCAGTAAACCCGAGATATATTTGTATTATCATTTTTGTGACGGGCTCTCTTTTAAGTAGATTTGTTTTCCTCCCTTCTCTATGGCTTAGGTAGCCAAAGTGGCTATGGCAAAAAAAAAAACAATGACAGTAAATTATTCATTGTTACTTGTGTCTCTGAATGGGGAAATAGATGGCTGCCCCCATAAATATATAAACTGACTTTTTAAGAATGCATAAGATTTTTTTTTTTAAATATGTATGTTGGGGTTATGTAATCTAAATAATGAATGTTAAGAGAAAAAAAATGTGCCCCTTTAGGAATACAGTGAATGTTCATGTAGTTCTTGCAGTTACAACAATCTTGCACTACCATAAACATTCCAGTGCGTTTCCTACCATTCCTTCAGTGCGTAAGAGCACCACTAGAGAGAGCCAACTCAGGCCTCCTCCGAAGTCCACCTCCAGTAATCGCCTATTATAGAGTGCAAGCTGCTGGGGCTCCTGCCCGTTATTCCAACTGTTTTCACAATGCTTTTACCGTTACAGTGCAGAGTAAAATATAATGTTAAATATATGTTCATTTGGTTTTATTTTTGTTTATTTACTGCTTTTCAGTTGAAATCCTGACTGCAGTGAGTCCATTTGGATTCATTTGCAGCATTTATATATTATATGGGCCTGGCATGTCGTACAGCAGATCAGTTCACATGCTGTTTGCTTCTCCTCTTGTCCACACAGTCTCTTACTTCATTGCCTGCAGTGCTTGAGAGTATCTCCATTAGGAAATTTCCCTTCTATTACGAAGAGCCATCTGCTAAAAGTAAGGGGCAGGGGATTCATTTGACTTTGGTCCTCACATGCGCAAAGAACACAAGACTGTTTCTGCAGAGCTAAGTCATACACCTGTACTCCTAGAAATTTGGAAGAGACTTATGTTGGAATAAAGCATGAGGTTAAAGGAGAACTATGAGGTGAGTGCTTTTCACTCACCTCATGGTTCTAGCCAACCTGTGACAATGAGACTGCCACAGGTCGGCTCAGTAGATCGGGAGGTGAGCGAACACATACCGGCGTTCGCTCACCTCTCGATCCTGTCACGGCTCTCTGCCGTGACGGGGGAGGGGGCGGGTACAGCTAGTTCTGCCACTAGATAGGCAGAGCCAGCTGTCAGTCACGCAGTTGGGCGGATCCTGGCACAATTGTCGGGATCCGCTTCAGCTGCGGCGTCTCAGTATACCGCGAGCTGTAGCTCGCGGTATACTGAGCCTAGGGTGACGGGAGGACGCTAGTTTGTGTCCTCCCGTTACCCTAAGGATAACTATGGGGAAAAGCCTTAACCCCATAGTTCTCCTTTTAAGGAAAGCAGACTATACGTATGTTCATGGTATGATTCTGATGGACCCATTACTGCCAGAACGTGTATGAGAAGGACGCCGTTGTAGTAAGGGCATTGTGAAAACATATTTTTTAAACTCTAAACTTTTTATGTTTCTTAAGCTGCCTCTATATTGAACTGTTTGGTCTTCCCACTCCTTGTCTTGTAACCGATAGCAGGACAGTTGTCCTGCTAATGTTACGGGTGTATTAGCTGGTTATAGTCCATCTTAGGCAAGGAAGAGCTGAAATTTCACTGGTGGATGGCCCTAGATGTGCAATACTTTGAGCGTTCGCGCACTCTCTTTGCTTGCCGTCATTAGTTTTGGCTCTTGGTAATGCTTTCTACATTGTAGCGCTTCAGGAGTGTTATATTGAATTTTGTTTTGTCTTTTTTTCCAACACCCTAAAAGGGAGCAGTAACAGCAGCAAGTATTTTGCTAGCAAGTCTTCTGCTAGCAAGTCCTCTCACACTTCCAAAAAGGGTCACAAGCGACAGGAGGCTGCACAGTCAGATTCCTTCTCCAAGGCTGCCGTAGATCCTATATGGACTTTAATAGAGCAGACGCCGACCCCCATCATGATGACGTATCAGATACCCAAGAGGTGAGTCCACAAAAGGCTTGTCCATTGTTTTTAAGACCCGTCTCAAAGTAGAACTGTGGCCGGGCTACAGACATTCAAATGCTTACATATTGGTATTCAGCCATAAATAGGCTTTAAAACAAAGTCACTGAGTTCTACAGACACTGTGGAGTAACTCGGTAGTTATTTCTCTCCCGCTTAGTATCTGGTTCTTGTTCCCCCTTCCCAATAGTGACTCTAGTTTACATACATAGCAGGTGCACAGGAAGGGGTGCAAAGAACTGATTTCAAGGACTTCACTGCTTCTCTTGTGAACTTGGAGGATGAATTGCTCCATAGTGTCTGTGACTACAGAGGTCTTTGAGGGATTGCTGTAATGTAAATTGCCTGGTAACAACTCTACTTTTTTAAAAAAAGGGGGGGGGTGGAGAAAGTTTTTTTTGGACTCTAAAGAGTATATTTTGTCAGTATATCTGGTAGGCTCAATTATTTTCTTTTGTTTTCCCGCATAGTTGTATAGTTTGCTGTTTGAAAATTATGAATTTGTGGTGTCTTGCTGCTCTGCCAACTGAACCCACCATAAGTGTCTCCTGGGTTGGCTCTTTCAGCAGCAGGCACGTAGACCCTTCTTATTATAATATTCATGGGTTCTCGCTGTTCATTCTGCAGGGATAAGGAGACATTGCTGAAAGAAGATCTGGAAAAGCTAACAGCCATGCGTAACAAACAGCCCCGGTTCACAGAGGAGCAGAAGGAGGAGCTCGCGGAAGTACATTCTTGGATCCGAAACCGTTCGATCCCTCAGGAGATAGACACTCAAGTACGGAAAACCGCACTGTGCTTGGTTAGACTTTACTTTCCTAATACTGTTACACCCCATTTACACACGCCTCATTCTGGGATACCTGTGGCAAAAACCTACGGATTCCTGTGGCAGGAATGCCAGGTGTTCCCTTTTCAAATGCGGCCGCTGTACCCATTGAAGGTAATGACAGAATGACAGCCGCATCTGTCAGCGACAGTCCACATGGAATTATACCATACGATTACTTGCAGTTCGGTGTAGATTGTCCCTGGACGCAGGATAGATACATCCAGCGGCTATCATTTATTCCTAGCATAAAACATCCACATGTATTCATCATATGGTACGATTACATGGGGACTGCCGCTGACAGATCTTATCGCTGTAACTTCAATGGGTACAGTGGCTGCATCTGAACCGGAACACTGGTATTCCTGCTGCAGAAATGCCATAAGTCCCATGTTAAAGCAGCATTAGAGAGGACGGCTATAATTACTCCACACATAATAGGGGATTGTTTCTTAAAATAAGGCATAACAACCACATTCTTGCTGTCTATTTTTTTTTTTTTTACACGGCTGGAAAATTGATCGGCTCCTCTGAGCAACACCACTGCCTCTGTTTTGCTCCAGGTTATTCATGAGTCCTATAGTGCATTACACTGTCCATCTAAATCCCAGATTATTAATGTATGGGTTGCTAGATTGCAGATCCTTACATGCTTCTGTTCTGACTGAACAAAAATAAATTGGAGCAGATTCCTCCAATGTTACGAGTGCGTTATTCGAGGAATCCCATCTGTTTCTTTTGTATTCTGACAGCGGCCACCGAATACCCGAACAGAGGCGGCAACTCATTGGCCGTTGGCTCTGTTCGTACGAAGATTTTCCGACCGGCTCCATTGATCAAGGGATGTCTGCCAAAAGGCTGCCAACAGCGGGACCCAGTGTGCGAATTTCGGCCTGTACCTCAAGAACCGCCAGAAATTCGCACAGTGTTTGGCCGCTTTTAGGGCTAGTTCACACCAGCCCCAGTGCATTCCGGCCCGATTCTGGCCAGATCGCATCCTGACCGGCTCACTTTGTTTTGGGGCGGGAGGGGGCGTGGCGGTGCATTGAAGTCAATGGCACCGCAGCCACGCCCTCCAGCCGCAGTGCGATCGCCCACACATCAATGCCTGCATTCCGGTCCGGTGCGGTCAGAAAAATGCTGCATGCACTATTTTTTTGTCTGACCGGAAAGCAGGCATTGATGTGCCACGCGTTCCGGTGGGTGATCGCACTGTGGGCGGAGGACGTGGCTGCGGCGCCATTGACTTCAATGCAATCAAAGTAAACTGGCTTTGATCCAGTGCGTTCCGGCCAGAATTGGGCAGGAACACACTGGGGCTGGTGTGAACTAGCCCTTAGGAGAAGCTGCAGCCTTTGAGACAATCATGAACACATAAATGGGATTCCGTGGGGGGAGAAAACCTTGAAAGGCCAAATATAAGCAGATTTAACTTTTGGATCCACGCTTGATAGAGGTTTTAACTTTTCCCTCTTGTATCCATAACTAAAAAAATGATTTTGATACTTTAAATAACAAAAGGTCTTGGTTTCAGATTGCTTACAGGACCTCCCCAGATATTTCTCCCATCAGAGGAAATGTAAAATGCCTCGTTTGGGCTAGTTGTAGCCAATTCCCTTAGTCCAAAGAACAAGAAAATAATGTCTCTGTAGATTGCTGTAGATGTGCTCAACAATGTCATGTCTGTCTTTCCAATCAACAGGGATGTATCACTTGTGAGAATGGAGCCCCAAGAAGCAACAACCCCAAGAAGGAAAACACAGCAGGAGACGGCTCCACCAAAACTGCCGAACGACCTCCGTCATCATCCCAAACAGAGCAACAGCAGCAACACACTCCAAGCCTGAGCAGGAAAACGACAAACTCAGAGACCTGCCTATCGTCGTAAATACTTTTCTTTTTCTATAAAGTTTTATTTAAAGTCCGTTCTTCACCGCACAAAGAAACAGGAAGCTTTACGTACTTTCTTTTACAAAGACGTGGAAATCCCCTGGTGATCGAATTTTGTAATTTTTGTTTTTTTGTAACCACATTTGTGCCAAGACACTACTGCCCACTTTGCAGCCGCTAGCAGGGTTTTTTTTTCTTTTCCCACTTATTGACTTGGCTGTTACATTTCCTAGCACACCATTCCATCCCTCTCCTGCACTAACTTTTGGCAAGTCCGCCATTGAATCTTCAAACATCAAGACTCTTGCAGATGTTTTTCAGTTCTCTTTCCTTGTGCACCATGTTTCTACCTGTCCTGTTTTGTAAATATTACAGATATTAAAGGAGTACCAGAACGGTGTGGTTTTATCAGGGCTTCCTTTTTTGTTTCTATTTGTAAATTGCCTTGATGAAATGACCTTTTTGGGAATAAATTTTTGATTATCCTTGTATCTTCTGGAACTGGTATCAATTGGTAGCATGTGATTTTCATAGGCCTGTAGAAAACGGTTTATTCAAAGCTGAACTCCAGGCAGACTGCTAAATACACAAACGAAATGTATAAAACCGGAATGGTTTGACCTGCCAAAGTATTTATATTTTTGTCCATGCGCTCCTGAGATTTAGACTGCATTGCCATACAGCAAAGCCCACACTAGCAAGGGAGAGGTCCTGATCTTGGCTGCAGTTTTGATTTCACTTCCCAGGAACCAGATAGCCATTGATCCTTAAAATTGACAGCTGAAAAGTGAAAATCACCAGCGTGACTGAAGTGCTACCGCCTTTCTTAGCGTATCATGTCACATGCGTCATCAAGTCAACATTTCAGGGCTACGCAGGGTCCATTCCTGATGACATAGTGACCACTATAATCAGTGTGACCACTTTGATGATCCTGGGACACGGCGCCATCTATATTATCACTTCGAGCATGATGACCAGTAACGGAGTAGGTCTATACCCTCTATGGAGTGCAGGTGACCCACTGCAACACTAAAACTTACAGCCGGCACCTAACTTTTTAGGCTTTCCATAGTTGTCATTGGGGCTGGCCCCCTAGAAAAAATAATCCTGAATTCATCCTTCCCTTCATAAAGGTCTTCTTTCTACCCCCACCCTGTGTCTTGACAGTGAAAAGAGAAGCAGCAGATGTGTCCAGGGCCAGGTCACCCCAGCAAGCTGTGCTAAAACGCATTGCCGCTGGTGTGCAGTTAGAGATCTGGTGTGAATCAACCCTCACTCTGCTCTCTTCTCAGATCAGCATGCTTCTTGCAATGCAGCATACACAACAGGCTCCTCATGCTACTTCTCCCACCCGCAGTTTGATCTATGCTGTACAAGGTCTGCAAGGGGCTGATACCTAATCAGATTGAGATACTTAAACTGCTTCCATTAAATAAAATGCATTGAATGGTGAATTAATGATTCCGGAGCTGCACTAGTGTGTGCCTCCTTTTATCTCCCTGGAGATCAGCTTTAAGCCTGAAAATTATGTAAAAGGGGTAACGCCATCTTTAGGCTAAGCACATGCAGGTATTTCTTTTTTATCTTTTCTTGTATTACCCTTCTGTTCCTGAATGCAACATATTGCGGGTAGGGATACACCAATACCGATACTAGTATCTGTATCAGTACTGAGTACTTGGGCGAGTATCCGTGCTTGCCCAAAAGCTCCAATACCTTTCCCGTTACTGGAACTTCTGGTCAGAGGAAAATTTTCCTCTGACCGGCAGTGCCGTTGGGGAACATGGAGCTAGCTTCCTGTGTGATCAGAAACCTGGGCAGCGAGTAATGACCCGGCTTCCTGATTACTGAACAGCCGGCTCCTTGCTGATTGGCTGGGAAGCCGGCTTTCCAGCCGATCGGGAAGCTAGGAGGCGGGTCATTACTTGCCGCCCGGGTTCATAATTGGCCGGGAAGCCGGCTCGATGCTGATTGGCTGGGAAGCCGGTTTCCTGGCCAAGCACAATCAAGCCAGCCAAACATGGAGCCAGCTTCTCGGGCAATCAGATTGCAGAGGAAGCTGACTTCATGTCAGCGGAAGCATTGGTATCGGTACTCTGTATCGACGAGTACTGAAAGCAAAATATCGGTACTCGATACCGGAAAACCGGTATCGGTGCATGCCTAATTGCAGGGTTTATTCTCTAAACAAAACCCCCAGAATGTGAAATGTTTTTGAAGAGCCATTCCAGCCCCCCCTTATGTTCCTGCACAGCTTTCTTTCTCTGAGCATGTGCAGCTGCTACAATGGAGAACAGTATGCACAGCAGATTTAATCTGCTTCCATATAATGAAAGGGAATCTTCAAGCTGCACCAGAGAAGCAGGAAGAACGCCACATCCGGTCTGTACAAACTGATGTGAAGTAAGTAGAATTTTTTTGTCTGCAAAACATTATTTTTATGGGATTTATTCAGAAGTTTGTTTCACGCAGGTTTTGGGGCTGTGACTTTTTATCATAGTGTCAATAAAGGTGACTGTTACGAAGGTGTACTCTAAGTGGTGTTTTGTTGCTTATAATCTATGTAATAAGCCCAGTGACCACTTTTACGAAGATGTTTGTATCTCACTGCATTGGTCTTCCTGGTTCAGTACGTACAGAGAACGTAGAGCACTGGACCAGCAATAATTCTTATATATTAAGGTACAGTGGTACCTCGGTTCACAAACTTCATTCGTTCCACGATTCTGGTCGCTAGCCGAATCAAATTTCCCCAGTACAGTACTGTATGTGCTAAAAAGCTTCACAGCAAGTGTGCACAGGTCTGTCTGCACACGTAATCTCGACTAGAGGAAGCCACAACCATGTGCCAGAGCAGGGAAGATGGCCGCGGTCGTGTTCGTCACCAGATGTGGAGTTCGCGAACGAAAGCAAAATTTTGCCAAACTTTCTGTTCACGAACCGAGGTATTACAGGCATTTATATAGCGCCAACAACGTAGGCAGTGCTTCCTACACGCGCACACCTACACGCCTACACCTACCTTCACATCAGGATCTTACAGTCTTAAGTTCCTATATGCATACAGGAACCAATTAACATTCCAGAATGTGTTTTGTAGAGTGAGAGGAAACCGTAGTACCCATAAGAAACCCACACAAGCACAGGGAGAACATGAGGACTCCTGGCAGATAGTGTCCTGACCGGGATCAACCATAAAGTGGGTATGATGGTGACCACAGGGGTGGTGCCATCATATTAGAACTCCAAAGACTGCAATAGCACCCGCCAGCTATATATGCAAAAATGCACGCAGGATGTTTGTCATCCATAGAAAGCAATGTTTTGAGGCCACTGCGGACTCCATTGTTGGGCAGCAGTGATGATGTCACTACTAGCCGAGGAAGAGGTCCTCTGTGGCCTCGAAATGTCGAGGGAGCTGAAAACCTTAG